AGGGCTGCTTTTTTTTTCTTCCTTTTTCTCCTCAGAAAGTTTAGTCACCTTGTAATAGATGTCGTCAGGGCAAAGCAATTCTGCCTTGGAAAGTGAGGGAGTAGCCTCCACGAACACGTTCGTAACGCCCTGTTTGAAAGTGTGCTGGCGAAGCCCATCGGAAACACGGCTTTTTTAATTCCTTTTAACGTAAAAAGCATTTGTGTTTGTGCTGCGTGGTTGTTCACTGCTGCTTTTCCCTTCCAGGCAGTTACTGAAAGACCCCCAGGTGTTATTTGCAGGGTACAAGGTCCCGCACCCGCTGGAACACAAGATTATCATCCGGGTCCAAACCACCCCCGATTACAGCCCCCAGGAGGCTTTCACCAACGCCATCACAGATCTGATCAGCGAGCTCTCCCTCCTGGAGGAGAGGTTCAGGGTAAGTTTGTTTCTTTTTTTTTTTTTTCTTTAAAACTATTTGAGCGTCTTGCAACTAAAAGTTAAACCAAGGGAGGGGTAGCGTATCTTAGAGCTGCTATTTTAGGTCAATAAATTCATCAAAGCCGTGCAGCGTCGCGTTACTCGGCTCCTGTCACGGCGTGGTGGAGCCTGGCTGCTCGCAAGGGTTATTTGCATGCCCAGCAAGCGTTCGGTGGGTGCTCTGCAATTCCCGAGATGGCCGGCGTTAGCGTTGGTTTTTCTCACAGTCCTCTTTCTTTTAAAGAGTAGAAAACAGTTTTCTGTTCTTCCAAAGTGTTTGGGGGGTTTTTTTTGACTTCTCCTGCCAAAACACTGGGACAGTATTTTTTTTTTTTGACCACTTCTCATTGATTCTGCTCAACTGTGCAATCGTATTTATTTAGCCCCTGATTTTTGAGACTTTAAATCTGCCTGAAAGGTTATTCAGACAAAACCGGGGGGACTATGAGCACTACACCGTCTGTGTAGTGTTCTCTGATGTGCTGGTAAAAGGTAACGGTGCCCCACTTTTGTAAATACGTTTTGATTTTCATTTAAGCATTATTTTTCTGGATGGCGTAGAGATTTCCACCGATGGCGTGCAGTGGTTCTTGCGTTTCGTAGAAGACCGGTGTGGTTGTTTGAACTAACCTCCTCCAGCTCCGTAACAGTTCTTGTCTTAGTGTATGTGGTTTTTGTTTGTGTTTTACAGGTTGCCATCAAAGACAAACAAGAAGGAATTGAGTAAAAGATCACCCCATTTAGAGCGGCCTGTACTTCTGCTGCAGAATGATGTGCCTGTTAGTTGAACGCTATATTTAAACCTCCGTTCACGGCAAATATGTTCCTCCTTGTCCCACTTACTTTTGGTTTTTGACAGCAGCAGTGATCTTTTGAGGGTTGTGGGGGGTTTTTTTGTACCAGACAGGCAGCTTGCCAGGAGGGTGGATGTCGTGTTTGATTTGATAGATAAGTCCTTAAAATGATTTCTACTTTTCTAATTGGAGCCTCAAGGCAAATATTTGTACCGGGCTGTTGGCGAGTTTATTGTGAGTGTACTTCCAGAATGAGAAGCCGCTGAGCGATAGCGGTAGATGAACTCTCTGCTTTTCCTTTTCAAGAAATCTAGGCACTGCCAACTGAACTGGTATTTTGTTTTATTACGTGTCATTTCTATAAAACAAATGCACAAATTGTGAAAAGTTACAGTAAAAGAAACCGGATGTTTACAATGACTTGATGAGTTTAACAAACTCGTTTACCTTTTTTTTTTTTTTCTCTTGCACATAATAGCTGGTTTAGAAAATTTCATGGTTACATGGGTACCAGTCACTAATACTGCACTATTTCAAAGCACGGGAATGAAACTCTGTTACAAGGAACTATGACTTCTTCCAAATTGCTGTTATGTTCACACTAGTTAGAACAACAAGGTAAGTAAAAGTAGGGTCTGATACCACATTGTTTATTAGGACTTCAGTCAGCTGCTCCCCGTTCGCTCGAAGCTCTGGCCAATTGAGAATCTACGAGGAGAACAGAGTTTGGGTAGGAAAGGAGGGGTGGTATTGTCTCTGGAAGTGGGAGGTGGTTAATTACTGCAAGGCCTGGTTTGACGATTGGGTCTCTGGGGACTCCGCTTCCCTACTGACCTGGGGAAGCTGAATAAAAGGTTCCTCCCCTTCCTGAGGGAGGCGGTGCAGCTTTCTGATACTGCTCCTAAAGGAGCAGGGTTTAACGCAGAGGGACTTGATCAGAAAGGAAAAAGTGAAAGCGGCTGCCCCTCAGTCCTGGAGGAACCGACTGCTGACTTGGGCAATACGCTTCCAGAAAGTCCATGGCACACTTGGTCACCTCATACCTACATCTAATGGTAGCTCAAGACCAGGCTCTGGAGTGACAGCCTTCGAGAGGGCGAGTGATTGTCCTTTCAGAGCCTTCACCATGCAAGGGAAGAGTAACTGCCCAAAGGAGGGCTATCTCTGGAGGCCAGGGAAATACCAAGCGAAAAAAAGGGTGGCGTGAGCATAGGGGAGCAGCGAGCCCTTTTCCGCGTGCCGTTCTGCCAGGGAACGGCCTCTCCGGCTTCCCTCCCCTTGGCCCGTCAGGGAGATGCTGTCTGCATGCTTGTATTCTCAGGCTTTCCAGTTTAACCACCGATTTTTTTTTTTTACCGAGGGCCCTTCCGCTAGGAAAAGTTGCCAAGCTGCAGAACGCAGGAGCAAACAAACGTGTTTCACAGCTCCTAATTCCCGTCACACTTGTGTTTGCATGAGATTTGAAAGATGGCCTTGGTCACGCGCTGGAGATGATCGCTTTTAATGGCTTGTGCGTGTTAGGTAGAGGAAACACTAGGTGTGTTCTGGTGTAAAACCGCTCAGCTGCTCTGGGGAGGGAGGGAAGCCCAGCTCAGCCCCAACGGGCAAATGAGACCTACCTGTGTGGGAGGGATCCTCTTGTCTGTGCGTTTTCCCTTTGCAGAGCTCCACGCTGTGGTGTAGTTTGAGAGGTTGTACATCCACACACTTCCCTGCTCGTCGCCACAGAACACGTAGTCTTTTGCTGTAAGACCAAAAGAAGCAGCTGGAAAATGAGCGTGGAACTGAGAGTCCACACCTTTATTAAAAGCAGAGCTCGAGACAGTGCTGAAGGATCCCACGGGAGGATATCACATTTCAGCAAAACTCTCTTTCTAGCACAATCTACCTCGCGCTGGAAAAAAACTCAATTCATTTAAAGATCAATCGGCTATTTTAACTCCAGTAAGAAAAGCTAGTGATAAATGTTTTGGCATTTCTTCTAACTTTTTCAGACTTTTTGGTTTTGGATAAGCGGCAATCAGATCAGATTTGTTTATTCCTTGTTAGTCTTAAAAGCCAGCTGCCCTGTGTGTGGAATTCCTACCCCTTACTTTGGACGCAGTAGGCATTAAAATGACTCTAGAAAAGCTACAGGGCCAAGCCGTCAGCTCCGTGCGCTTTGAAGACCTGTACAAGAAGACCGTGTTGGCACTGTGCAGTCGGTGTAGCACTGTAAGCCTGAGCTGTTCCCCCGTTGTACGGCAGATAGCACAGCTGCATTCACGTATTCCTTGTGTTATTATTTATATACAGCTGGTGCTGGGCTGTTGCTGCACTGTACTGGAGCTGCAGCGCAGGGAGCTGAGGGCTCTTGTTGCTTGCCGAGGGGAGACCAGACGCTCCCTGTGATGGGGACTGAAATCCAGGCCTCTGCCTCTAACTACGGGCTCCTCCGACGGGTGGAAGGGGAGGCCCACGCAACTGTTCAAAGTAAATCTCGGACCCCTGCGGCCACCTCTGCTACGGTGACTGGTACAGCCTCGCTGCTTGCCCCGAGGAAGGGTGCTGCCTACCTGGGCAGGTGCTGAGCGTCAGGTAGGACAGGTCCGTCGTGGACCACTCGAGCTCAGCTAGAATAACTGCAGATACCGTTCGCTGGTATCCTTTCCCCTTTGCGTCAAAAGACCGACTCCAGCTCCATAAGTATATGCATCCCGGTTTGGAGCTCTTGGAAACTAGGGAGGAAAGAGGGGAGAGGCTGTGTCAGTTGCCTGACTGAGAAGTGAAATGCCTCAAGACAAAGGCTGGCCTCTGGTGAAGGCGGTCCATCCAGAAGGTGGCTTTTAAGACATGGGACCTTATACCAGCAGCAACTGTTTCTGCCTCCTTTACCTTGTTTCGGGATAATTGGAGACTGCAGAGGGATTTTCAGTCCCATGCTTATGTTCCTGAACTGTAGAACAAGCATAAGCTATGCAGAGACCCCCAGCCCGTGCTTTAAGCGCTCTCCCAGACGTGGGAACCCCCAATTCCCCTGCAGAAAAATACTGCTGCCACCAGCCCTTGAGCAGAAAGGAGCCCTCCTCCCTTCCACTTCAGCACTGCTCGGCCGAGCATGCTCTCAGGGATGGGTCCATCTGATTTCCAGTCCTGCTCAGACATGGGTTTGCACCTCTAGCCCACATTTTTTAATGATTCTGGGAGACAGCTCCATCTAAAGAAGAGGCAGTCACACCCCATTCAGTCCCTCTGCTCATCATGCTGGCTTCAGCCTGCCACATGCTGAGGTGCCCGACTGTTTTTCTGGATCAGGCTGTTGTGTTTATACTCACCGACGACATCATCATTCAGAAAAGCCAAACCGTCAACCCTGTGAGATGTTGTCATGCCTCCATCCTCATCAGGGAACTGGAATATGGCTTCAAAAGGCCTAGAGCAGGGGGGAAGGGTGAAAAGCGTCAAGTCCTGAACGGGCAGCAGTGGAAGGGCACTCGGGTACAGAACGCAGGAGAAGGAAATTCAGGTGTCAGTGAGCGTCTTGCCAAACTCAGATGAATTCCCGCTCGAACTTATGCTTTTGGCCACCGGGGTTTAATAATATAGTAGAAGCCCGTTTGCTTAAGAGACTGCTGTTTTACTTCATCTGTTTTCGTAGGCATCAGGATTAGTCTATGTCAGCAGGGCATGACTTCACTTGCTTCTTTCTTGAAATTTTTTTCTGTGCTCCCACAGAGTGCCAGTTTCCTGGGTAACCTCACGTACCAGAAGCAGGGTAGGCCTTGCTGGGAGACTGGAACGCGATCCAAGAATTTACACTCCCTTACACTACTTCAAGATGATACGCCCTTAAGTTTTAGGGCATTGTATTACACCCACGTCAGCCCTCCTTCAAAGCAGCCTGCAACACTTGTGGACTGGAGCATCAATACAAGCTCAGGGCTGCTACCTTTGAACACTCCTTTAGCATTATGCTAGTATTTTTTCTTGCCACTATGGGAAGGGGAGTATGAGTTAAGTTTGGTAGGACGTGCTGCTTTTCTTGCTCAGACCTCCTCGGTTAGAAATAAAGCCTTTGCTAGGACTACCTCTTCTTGTTATGGAAAGCAAATGCATGCCCCCAGCTTTTGGTTCTCACCTGCTTTTTTGTTCCTTATCCAGTTTTATATTCCAGGCAAAGCAGCCGCCTTCACAGCCAGCCAGCAGGTACTGATCGGAGCAGGTGGGGACCAGGGCAATCCGTAAGGGAATGGAGAGCGCTTCCAGCACCAGCAGCTGGCTAAAAAAAGAGAACAAGCAGTTAAGCGGTGCTACGATGTGATAGTTGTAGGCTCCTGGACTGGCCACATCTGGTTTTTGAACCTTTACCTTGCTTTGAAATTGTAGTCACAGTCTGGAATCCCAATATCCCAGAGTGCAATTCGCTTGTCATAGGATGCAGCTGTGGGACACAGAAGAGAAGCAGGTAGTGACACCGCTGCTCATCTGGCTCTTCTCATGCTAGCTGGCAATTCTACCCGTGTCACAGGCTGTAACATTCTAAGCCTGTGGCATCAGAGAGCTCATTAAAGCACAGCAGCAGTCACCGAGGCTCCTGGCTCAACACCACTTCACAGACATTGTCAAACATGCACCATCAGTAATTTGCATTCTTACCCTGTGCTCTAAGAGGAGCAGATAAAAGAAAGTTTGTTTCCTGGTGTCCATTACTAAATTGTGGCTTCACAAGGTCATTAATTAGTCCCCCTTTGAGCTCATGTTTCTGGTCATGGGTTCTAGTGGAATCTAAAATATGAGCTCCAACCTCTACTCTCAGGCAGACGCCGCTTTATTCCACATATCCACGGCTTACTGTGTTCACATCCACAGCAGCTCCCACTGGGAAAGTTAGGCGCTGACGTAAAGTGTGAAAGACACTTAATGTCTTTGTCACCAAGCTGATATACTGACAGCAGAAACAATCCTAACAGATTACTCAGAGTAATCTGGATCCTTATCAGATGGCACCCCTCAAACTCAGAGTAAACGGGTTAGTGTCCAGTCCTCAAACAGGCATGCAAAGACTCTCACTTTAGTACTATAAATTTTTCTATGCAATGTAATGAGCCTTGCTGTCCACGCCATGATACAGATGTGCTAGCAACCTCCTTACCCCTCCAGGCTTCTGCCTTTTCCACTCTTGAGCTTCTTCTTGAAAAGTATCCACTACAGATACCCGTGTTTTAAAAAAATTCCACTTTTGATGGTTCATGTAGCACTCTAACCACTCCAGGATGTGGGTAATTGTAGGCAAGAGAAAGAAACAATGTGCTGTGGGGTGCAGGTGTGGTCGGAATGGCTCTGTAACAGCTTACTTCACAGGCCTGACAATGCAGCTGCAATTTGTAAGGTGATGGTTCATTTCCTACCAGTCCATAAGCCTCAGCCTCTGTGGGCCCTGCTGTGGCAAAGCTCTCTTCTACATCAGGACCCAAATAAAAATTTCTGATGAGGCACAGAACTCAAAAAATTTTCATTTATTCAAAAGCAATTAAGCGCATAGTTTTGCTCGTTGGAAAAAATGAAATGCAACAGCCCATTATACGCTGCATTGCCCCTGTTGCCATGCTCGACGAGAGCCCTGCCAGCTGACCGCTCGCTGCCTGGCCCCCAGCAGGCTGCTCCGGCTATCATTCTTCTTATTCATCCCTGCGGAACGGATCCACTACTGGGCTTGTTTGTGGCTAATGCGTGCGTGACAGCCACCCTGAGCGCTACCGAGTGAGAAACAGGAGCTGCTGCACCTCAGCTAGAGTCAGGCTCTGTGGCTGAAACAATTTGTACCTTCTGTAGATTACTGCCCTATGAGACTAACAATACTCTCTCCATAACGTCTGTCCACGCTTTTTGTATGTGTGTGCGGTCCCTACCCACACCTGCTTGCACTGGTGACAATTCCCCTCGTTAAGGAAGCCTGGCTTTTTCCACGTCAGGTACTAAAGCTAAAGAGATTCTGAACCAGAGACTTACTGAAGAGGTGAGTTTCTCGAGTTGGGCTGAAGCAGACAGTAGCAATGGGCTTTTTATGAGCCTTTATCTCCCCGTAGCAGAAGTCAGCTGCCACATGAATCAGTTTGACGATCCCTCTCCTCCCAGCAGCCGCCAAGATATTATGAGATTTTTTCCGACTGTTGCTGATTACCATTGTGAGGGTTGTCCACGCAACACTGAAAAACTCCTAGGATAGAAAGAAACCAAGAATAGCGTGAAAGAGAACAGCCAGCAGGATGGCTGTTAGCTCAGAGATAAGACAACTATCACGAGAGCTATTCAGGTGAAATGACACGTATTGAACACAGTAATGAACTGTGAACGACTATTCGGGCCGGAGCATCGAATCTCAAAACAACCCTCAGAAGAACACAAACTACCAAAACAGGCTGTTTATTCCTCTATGCCGTCAAGCAGTCTTAGCTGCCTGGATACACAGACGTATGCCTGTGTGAGGAGAACAGAGGCAGACTGATCTTTTAAACTAATAAAAAAATAAAACGAAACCAGGCTAAAAGGATAAGCAAGAAATGTTTACTATCTCTCTTCATCCTTTTAAGGATGCTTTTTAAGGATTTTAAGGTCCATGCTAATGCTTGAAACCCTTTCAGAACTCTTTGCAATATATATTATCTGTACATGTATACAATTGTAACGGATTATGGTACTTCCATTCAATGCTTACTATTCCCACTTGCAACCTACCTCTGTAGCCACCTTATACTTTTTCAGCACCGTCCCCGTCTCACAATCAATCAGGCAGATGGATTCCCCTCCACATGTTGCCACAGTTCTGGAGGAGCTCACAACGGGATCTGAAAGATGAAAAGAATGGGTGAGAAGTTCCCAGGTTCACGGATAACACATGAAGACTGCAGCTTATCACTGCCTGGTGCTCTCCCAGTCTCCTGTTTTCAAAGTCAAAGTAGTAGTATGTAAGCAAGTCTCTTCCTGACAACGGAGACTACAGCTTGAAGGAGCAGGGGTCTAACGCATGGAGTCCGCTGGGATTCCAGAGCCGGGTGGTTCTGGGAATCCTGCAAACCTCTTTAAGAGCTCACCTTTCCTGGCTCCACAGTCTAGCAATGGCTCGAAGACACAGGACCAGAGCTGCGTTTTAAAATCCTCGCGGCTGTTGCCTTTACTGTGACACTGAAGAAAATGCAATGGCTCTGCACTGACATCCTCCTACAATAAACCATCCACATTTAGAAAATTCATTCCCCTGACAGCGGTTTGCCTGTGATTGCCTTGACAGAACCCTCTACTGAACACAGCAATCTGAGTTAAACTGAAGTATTTTTCAGCCCTTCTGTGCTACAGAGAACAGGAGAGACTGAGGTGCCACCAATGCTCAAGACTCCTAAACCAGCAGGCAGCTGTTTAGAAAAGATGTGCCCAGCAGACCCCAGCAGTGAACCCCATTTCCTGCTGCAGAGAAATGTGAAAAACCCTTTAGACCCCCACTGGTCTGAGCTGAGGGGGAAACACCTTTCCCCATGCAGCCATCAGGTTGACCTGAGAGCAAGTCATGCCAGTCCCACTTCTAAGAACAGGCTTTCAGTGCACCACCTCAAGAGCACCGGTCGATCCATCCCCTGCAGGGGATTCACTGGTTCCAGGGGGGGCCTTCCCTGACGCCTCTGAGAGATTTAAAACAACAAAAAAAACCAAAACAAAACCGTAACTCACAATGTATCTGGCCAATTATGAGCTCCAAGCTGTGTAGAGCTCTGATGAAACCTGAATGCGGCTCCTCCCACTAAACCAAGCGGCCGAAAGCCAGTCCCAAGGGGGCTGATGAACATACCTTGCCCTTGGAGTTCTTCACTGGGGTCAAGCTGACAACTCCGTTGTCCTGCTCCTGGCTTTTCTGTTCCCCTGTCAGCTGGCTGGATCTTCTGTTGCTTTGCCCCTTGGGAAACTGCTCTCCATTCTTATGTGTCCCTTCAGCTCCCTGCTCAGGGCTTGCCTCTTTGGCTGGCTCGTTCGATGTTCTTGGTTTATCAGGAGCTGGGTCATCCTGCACATGACTGGACTTTCTGGGATTAACCGCAGCCTCCTCCTTGGTGTTTGCCTGGGACTTGGACCTCTTGTTTCCAGAGCCTGGTTTTGAATGATTTCTCTTCCTCTTGCTGGGCGTTACCGTGACCTATAAGGCATGTTGGCAGTTTCTGCAGAAAGCTTCTAGCTTCCCCGAGATGTGCAGGTGATTTGTAAATAAGTCAGCGATATTAATTATTCAAATGCAAGTACCCTCCCACGGTTACAGACTAGGTTCCAAGAATCAGACAGCCCAGAGCTGCAAAGCTCCTAGAGGCAGAGGCTAATGAAAAAAATCACACAGCCAGCCTCATTTTCATCTCCCTTCCCTTGCCCCAGTTACTTGCGATTTACATACGATGTGGAAAAACAAATCTGGCCCATGGACCGAGGGGGTTCAGTCTGCAGCCATTTCAAAGACGGCAAGCACCATCACGGTCTGGCCATGCATCAGCCCAGTTCTCTCAGTAAAAATATCCCTTCCTCGAAGGAGAGGTGGAGTCAGTAGGACTATACTCATGAAATCTTTTGGGTCTCCTATGAGAATGGAAGCTCTCTCCTCCTGGAGAGCAACTCAACTGTCACATTGCTGGGAAAGCTTCAGTCTGGCCATAAAGAACACGTTGTTGAATACAGGCTGGAGCCTGAGACTGCCCCTACGGTTACCAAAGGGTCATAAATGTAAACTGACAAGTGCTACTGATTTCATAAGAAATAAAAAGGACATTGTTAATGTAACTGGAAAAATCACCTACCTGACCCACATCCTCTGCAGCTTCCCTGGGGCTTTCTGTACTTTCTTCCTCATTCTCATCCATCTTTTCCTCTGGTTCAGGATCTGTGTTTAACTCCAGACCCAGTGAGTATGCCAGAAACTCTTCTGCGATCATTTTCACCTTAGAAGCAAATACGTGGATATGTTTAAAAAAAAAAAGACAAAAAGCAACAGCAGTCAAACGCTGATGTGTAATGACAAGAGCTGCTTTGCTGGGTTTTAGTATCTGCTTCCACTATTCTACATGAATTTCACAAGTGATGGAGGAGTCCTCAGCTGCCAGCCTGGCAGGCCAAGTCCTCTGCTGACATTACACGACCCAAGAACTTCACTTTGTCATGGGCATCCAGGGTATACATTTGCGAAAACAACAGCACAGCAACGAAACAAGACAAAGGAGAGATGGAAGCCTCAATTGTATGTATGCACATACAATTAAAACATATGTTACAAACTAAATGGTATCTTTCCCCACTGGGAGTAACTTCAATTCTGTCATTATCTTTTCTCCTTTCATACAGCTTCCATCAAGACTAAAGGTTGCCATTAGACTTATTTGCAAATAATTAAGTACTAAGGATACTGCAGTCTTGTTAATTAGTACAAGTATCATTATTGCTTAAGAATTAAAAAACAACATATAATGACAGTCATTGCAACTTGGTGCACATTTAGTCCTAGTGCTTTTGTAACTGCTTAAGAAAGCAGTGACGAAAACCAGAAAAAGCGATACCACCTGTCTGCAAGAGCCCTGATACCCTGAACCCAAATCCATACAGCATTTTAATCAAATCCATTCAGAATCAGGCTGCAGAGTCCTTGCCTGAAGAACAGAAGGGTAAGTGAAACGTAACCTACCCGCCAGCGGGTGAATTCACTGAGTGAGCTGGGTCCATATACCACATTGGTTTGTACTGACTTCAGGAACTTTTTCTTGATGGACTTCACTTGCTCAGCTGTATATTTCTCAGGAAGTTGGTCACGGAAGAATTTTTCCCAGTGAGCAGTAACCTAGGCAGAAAGACTGAGTTTATTCAACACGATACTACAGAAAACCAGAGCAGAAAAGCACAAGAGTGCTTGTGAAAGCACTGAGGAAGTTGCCAAGCCTGAGGCTCTGGTAGCTACATGATGGCACTGCTTCCATTTATTTTATCAGTGTTCAAACCACGACTTCAGCGAACAAGAAACCCAGTTCCTCTGAACCAAGCTTAAGTGAGCGTGGCTAAGCAGGTACCGTCAACATGGACCCAGAGCAATGCCAGATTTCATGCCTCGGGATCCATAGCAAATGATCTTAAGGTGTCTCACGCTGTACCCTACTAACAGGGAGTACCTGACAGGCAACTAAGTTATTATAACAGGCACGGGATAACGGGGATGTTTGAGTTTTCTTGTAGTTCAAGTGCGTGCGTGAGCAGGACTGGTGCACGTCATCCCCATTTATAAAGATACCTTGACTCCAAAAGGCTTCTGAACTACGGGCACAATCATGCAGATGCTCACCTATCAGCACAGTTTCCCGTCTGAGAGTTTCTGGTGGGTAGTAACACATCCATAAGCATTTGGACCCAACAGACGTTTTACATTTAGACAGAGCAGTAAGAACTGGGCAGCCAGGTACAGAGCAATACCATCAGGGAAAGGTATCTGGGGCACAGATACCAGCACAAAACGAACAGCACGGGGGGAGCATCCGGTGTCTCATTAAACAGCCAGCCATGCCCAGTTGCCTGGAGGATAAGAGGCCGAGCAGCCCTCACCAAGACCCTTTGAGGTACAAGGTATTATTACACAGATAACACTTGGCACAATAAGCCATCCCAGTCCTCAGTATTTGATCTCTCCACCACTGCTACACAGAAGGAATTAACAAGATCAACTAACTAGAATACAAATGGTAAAAGCAGTACTGCACAAAACCCGCCCTTTTTCATAATAGAACAATAATTCTGCTCAAGATCACAACATGCTTTTTGGGGACAGTCTGTCAGGAGCAAAACTGTGTACGTAAATGAGTGAAAATAGAGTTCCAAACATGCACAGCTGAAGAAGAAAGAACAAATCCTTGTTCCTGGTGTATGCTGGAAAAAGCAAGATTATCCTGAGCTTGGTTTTGTGCTCCCCATTTCCTGGGGCCAGGACAGTAACGTAAATTAGATGGGGAGGTGTATGCAGCTGTTAGCTCAGCACCAGGCTTCTCCCATTTTTGAATGATGTCATGGTTTAACCCCAGCCAGCAACCAAGCCCCACCCAGCTGCTCGCTCACTCCCCCCCCAGTGGGATGGGGGAGGGAGTCAGAAGGGTAAAAGTGAGAAAACTCATGGGATGAGACAAAGACAGTTTAGTAGGCAAAGCAAAAGCTGCACACACAAGCAAAGCAAACCAAGGAATTCATTCACTGCTTCCCATGGGCAGGCAGGTGTTCAGCCATCTCCAGGAAAGCAGGGCTCCATCACGCGTAACGGTGACTTGGGAAGACAAACGCCATCACTCCAAACGTCCCCCCCTTCCTTCTTCTTCCCCCAGCTTTATATACTGAGCATGACGTCCCATGGT